ATAGGTAAGTTATCAATAGGTATTATTGTTACTCCAGCTGGAACACTCTGTGATACATCCTCGACAGTTGTTTATCTCGAAGTAGTATTGTGTTCGGGATTTCTAATGTGAAAGTCTTCTCCTACATAACATCTGTTCGGTACCTCAAACTTGGGTAATTGAACCGAAATTAAAAATCCTTACGAAATGTTTATCTGGAAGTAGCATTGTGTACGGGATTTCTAATGTGAAAGTCTTCTCCTACATAACATCTGTTCGGTACCTAAACTTGGGTAATTCAAGCAATATAATTATTATTTGTTGTGTTTCTCTGTTATGTTATTGTTAATGGATTTTTCAAAAAATGAAATAGATTGAAAGAGAAGAAGTTTATTCATTGGAGTCTTCTTTTAATTATTTCCATATTGTTTTGAACATTCATCAAAAATTCTTGGACGTTATCCATGATACTCAGCCGCGTTGTCCTTATCCATTGATCCCGTTGCGCCAGAGTGAATTGGACTGCAGAGTCCAAGCATTGTTGCCACACAGCAATATATTGCGGCACCATCGTTCTTGCATTTACGTCTCGTAGCACACCGTTCAGGTGAGAATTTATGAATTCCCTCTCATTATCCATCTAAAAGTTTTTTTTTTCTCTTGTTATTTCACTAATATACCTCGAAGTCGACAATTTTCAACTGTCCATTGCTGTCCGCTCCGAAGTTTTCATCGTTATCCTCCAAATCTGCCAAGCAGAAACAAAAGCCCAGAAGATTGAGCTTTAATTCCCAGTTTTCTCTGTCTCCGGTATAGCGGCTTTTCCTTACGAACCCAACAACTTAAAAATTATTTTCAAGTGAAATTTCAAACAAAACTGTACCTTCTTCAGTAGCGATATAGAAGCCATATTCAGAGAAGTGAGCATTGGGAATAAATAGAACTGTCGGTCCCATTCCCAACAGCTCGATCAGTTTGTAAACGATCAACTCACATGGATTTATTACACCATGATGACGTCTACCAGCATGAGATTTGATGAAATAATGCTTCTGAGCTTCTCCAAGCTTTAACAGATCCATCTCGATTCCTCCCTGTTAGAAAAGTTTAAATATTTTGTATCTAAAAGATTCATGAACCTGTTCTCCCGCTAGGGCCTTAGGTAGAAACCTCATCTGCCAAACCGGACCCGGATGGGATACGGTGAAGAATTTTATACATGACGAGGCGATTGTATCGTCGTCGGCGTCCAGGTGTGGAAATAAACGGTAGGCCAACTGTACAGTACGACTCGTTCTAGGATCATTGAAAAAAGATGTTAAAAAGAGTCCGAAAAAGATGCCTAAGGCTGTTCTTAGCTCATTCAAGAATTCCTCATCCCTGTTCGTTCTTCCTTGAGCGTTAGTAAGCAAGCTGACTAACGTCATCCACATTTCCATATTTGTTGGTCTGCTCATATCCACTGAAAATGGCTTATTGACGTGGTAAAATCAAAATCATTAGAAGCTAGACAATATCATAACGCGAACAAATCACAAAAATCATTGCAACGGTGAAATAAAACCATGAGATGTACGGAACGACCTATACGACATACGGAATTACCTATATGAGATACACTATAGCCGTTACTAAACAGACAATTAGAATACCCCAATTCCCGTTATTCCCTTAGAAAAATTGAAAATTAACAGACTAATATTTTGTTTTAAAAATTTTAATTCAAAAAAAAAAACAAAAAACAAAAAAAATAAAGAACAAAAAAAATGAAAAACAAAAAAAATTTCTTCTCCAAAATTCTTCTCCAAAATATCAGTACCAAACGCAAGGACAAGCTTCAAATGTTCTGGCATCCTGAAAAACTTCACATACTTACGAAGAAAGATGGATATTAGTTTTAGTATTGGGAACAGTCATTTTCCGACAGAACGATAAGCAGCATGAATCAGTGAAGATATACTATCAGAAGCACAAGCCTTGTCGATATCACTGGGGTTCATGAGAAGAGAAATCTGAACAGCC